AGGTTTTGCCTGTCGCAGCTTATTTCAGTCTGTGAAAATGCTATTATAGATAGAATTGGGGTGGAGATTAAGAAGAAACGAATGACATCTGCGAAGTGTAACGATATCATTAACTTGCTTCTCACTGGACAGGTAGGCTTTCCTTTTGAATTACATTTTTTTGTCTGTAATAGTGTCAGTGACCTTTGATCTAACTTTGAAAAGTGATTATTAATGAATTGAAGGATGATTTTTCAATGAATGATTGAATAAGTTGCTGCTCACATCAACCACTACTCCAAGTTGTGACTGTTTTGGTCATCCAGGTAACTAGAAGAAATCTCCTAGTCATCAAATTGGTTGATTTGGCAACTCATGTCAGACTTCATGTAGTAATTAGTTTTAAAGTTTTTACAACTTCATTTTCATCGTCTGGAGTTGAAGTGAACATTGTCAACATTGTCAACATTGTCATAGAGTTTTGCTCACATTCCCTCTTTTTCTTCTATTAACAATTTGCCTCTTTCTCCGTGGTTACCCAGACTTTTCATCTAAAGCCCAGCAGGTCTACTGCTGAGCCCTGGCATCACCCATATATTTGTAAGTGGCTATGATTAATCCACATTTCCTTTGCTTTGTTAGGCTCATAATGCTCCTCAGTTGGCAAGGTGGTGCTTGTATGTGATCACAACAAACTACCCCGACTTTGAAGCCTGTGATGATTTTGATCTCATTAAGGGTGACAATCGAAGGCACATCCTGGAACATCGCTGGCCACCACTCTCCTATCTGAAAGAATTGGAAGAGTTCAAGAGGAAGACTGGGAGAACATAAAATATTGAATAGAACATACAAATAACTAATTGATACTGAGATAAGTGATGTCAACCATTTAACTCCCAAGATCCATTGAGAAATTCTTCCCTCCAACTTTATTACATTTTCTTTTAATTTAAATATGGGAATTTGGTGTCATATCAAGATCAACCTTGTGGCTGATATGCTTTACTATTCTCATAAGCTGTTCACAAAATAATGTTTTGAAGTCATTAGAAGTTACATGTTTATAACATACTGAATTCTGAACTTAATAGGCTCCTATGAATGTAATTCAGATATTAATTTTTTAACAGATTCAAACATAACAGTCAACTAGGATACAATGTAGTCATGTTATCTCAGTCAGTTCTAGGAAATCCAACCTTGAGGTAGCTTTCCAAGTATGAGATTGTACTAGTATTGGTATACAAGTGCATCATTGCCATGGATGTTTCGAAACCTTAATTTCTGAAAAAGTCGTCGTGCAACCAAAGATTTGTGCTAAAGGACTATTTTGCTAGGAGTTGGGCCAACTGTTCATATAGTTGACATGTTGATCATTAGATGAGTCTCTAGCAGAGGACAGTTTAAAGAATTATTATTGAGTGATAGTTTTGTTAGGTTCTCAGCAGAGCAGTTCACTCAAATTAATTATTTGCTTCATGTATAGTGAGTAGCCATTCCAATGAAATCAGTTTTTACAGTAGGAGTACCATTCATTCACGATCAACTGAGGTTTCCTTTTGCATTTGTGACTGCAGTGTCCCATGTATGTTGCTGTATTTCTGACAGAAACAAAGGTAATGAAAATGTCTATTTAATATTTAAACTTGGTTGCTCACAAAAGAGAAAGAATTTTAATGCAGTTTTGTGGCAGAGAGAGGGCTCAAATATGTAAAGTGTACTTCCAATTATTGTAAATAAGAATTCTATTTGAATAGGCATTTTTGTGAGTCTACTTAAAATATATTGAATTTTATGTTCAGTTTGTAGATGTGAAGCAATGAGAGATGTAGGTAGAATCCTACACAAGAATGACAATGTAGCAGCTTGCGTCAAGCCATATCATAGGTTTTGTTTTCTAAATCTTTTTATCAAAGGTTTTTTTTTCCTTCAACATCTTTATACAATAACTGTTGATAGGGTTTATTTCATTTATCAGTGCAACAAAAGGCTGATCTTGTTACAGAGTTTGGTCATGACTAATTTAAATTGATTGTCAATTGAGTGGAAATGCAACCAGGCTTTTTGATCGGTTGAAGAAAGACTAGTTGTACAGTCAAACCTCATAATCACTCTTTTTCAATGCAAGACTAGTCAGAATGACTTTTCCTATTCAACTGGGCTCTAAAAGCCTTGTCCCATTTTGCAGATGGGAATTTTCTTAATTGTTTACAGAACTTCAAAGGCTTACATTAACAACATTTTCCTTGTTACAAGGTCAATGTGCATGCACAATTTACCAAGTGTGTATACCAATTTACAGTAAGAAATGTTGTCACTTAGAAGAGACTTTACAAATAGCTATGATTAACAGTTTTCAATTCCACTGAATAGAATGTAAAATTCTATTCTCTTAGATTCTTACAAGAGAGGATAAATCCCTCCTTGGTTCTTACAAGTAAATAAATTGTAAATCTAGGTTCTGTTAAACAGTGCATCTTGATAGTTTAAACAAGAAAACTAATTGAGTTCAACTGAACATATGATACTAAATGTAAATTAAAGTTAAATTTGAGTTGCTTGCCCTGACCAAACTGTATGACTGTTAGAGTGGACTTATGATTAAAAAGTATATTAATGAAAGTATTATTTAATTTGATTATACCCTGACAACAAAGGTTGCCAATATTTAAAAACATTTACTATAAGATAGTTTGAATACATTCATGAGACTTTCATATAAAATTCTGTATATTAAAAATAAGAAGAATAAAGCTGAACTGAAAAAGTGATACATAGCTTGGAGCTGAATCTGTTAGTGTGATGTGGAGGCATCTGAGTGACTGGTTTTTGAGGAATTTGCACAAGATCTGAAGAGCCCAAAACGAGCAGGGCAAAGAGGAAGCAGGCTTGCTGCATGAAGTTGCAACTTGGTGGTACTTTTTAACTCAGCATGAAAAGGAGCAGAGGAAGTAAGCATTGGTAGGTTTGGGGAGCACACCTCTTTGTCCGCCCTGCTAGAAACTAACCCCAATCTTCCAAACTCCCCTTCCCCCCTCAATAACCTCAATAAATTAAGGCTAAATTTTAGCCTTAAGTGCAAAATAAGGTGGAGATCCCAAACGTACCAAGATCTCAGAAAAATTAACCTGTTCACAAACCTGCTGTGATTTTGGTTCTGAGGCATGAAAAATTCCCTAGCATATCTGAATCCCTTTTGATGGGTTGTATCTACCTGTGAATGTGTGGCAATTGTAGAATACTTTATTTGTTGCAGATGTATGCAACTGGTAAGTGATTCAAAAATACTCCTTCACATTTTACCAAATACAGACAAATTCATCAAACTACACAAAAATGTTCCTGGCTGTGACCTTTTATTTAGCATTTGTTTCCATTACTGGCACACAAAATAAAATAATGCATTTCTTGTCTCTACGAAATAACTATTAATGAACTATTCTAACAGTATTACTTGTACAAATATGAATAACTGTACAGTCTCTTGATACATTTGGGGTTTCTGGTATCACTGCCATGGTTCTATTTTGCATTAATAAAAATAAAGCAGGAGAAGTAATACCTCTGATATCCTTGATTTATAATCATGGTTATAAGACTGAGTCAAGTCCAATTTGGTCTGTAATCATATGAGTTACTAACAAAATCAGACAACTGTGAAGCAGGAGTCTGATTTGTGAATCACAAGTATGATTACAGACAGAATTGGATGACAAGAAGTCGTGTTACCATTATTACTCATAACCAATGCAATTTCTGAAAAAACAAATACACCTCGAACAAATATCTCCAGTGGAGACAATGTTTTTAGTTAAAAAATTCCTCCATTCTGGAAATTCCCAGTTTTTCTTTGCATGAGTGGTTGTTGCTATGGTTATTTTGATCATTTCTATGATTGGTGGATTAGCTAAGTGAACTTAGCATGATTAGCTACTTCAACTGTCCAATTAAAGGTGTCCCATTACAGCCAACTGTCCGATTACACTGTCCAATTACAACTATACAGAATGATAAGTGAAAAATGAAGCTGCGAATGCACCAATGATATTTGAGTAATTTGTAATGGTAATGATTAAATACAAAACTGTAATACACATACAAGTAACTCAGATGATTTAAATTACAATGCATTCACATCTTCACTCAAAAAGGTTCAGCTCAAAATGTAGAATTATTTGTACCAATTACTTGGCTATGTACAGCCCAGTCACACTCTCCTTGAGAAAACTCATTACATTTCTCATTTACAACAAACCTTCCTTCCCTTAACTCTTGTCTCAAAGCCATGAAAATGATGCAATTTTGTAATTCAAGAAATTATTGATAATTTTGCACAAGCAGTTTTGGATCTGTATCCCTTTCACAGTAGATTGTTACCAGAGGTGAATGCCTTTTGATCATCCAAATACTTTATATTTTTGGTACAAAAAACAAATTGTGAATTTTTTCATTATTAATAACAATTTCTGTACCATTTAAAGCTCATAAATTCAAAGTATGGTTCTTGAATCCGTAAGTGCTGTCAATAATTACAGTGTATGTCTAATGTCAGTGCTAACAGCTAAAGTATGTTAAAATACAATGATTGTGGTTTCTTCAATGAAATATTGTTATGTGGCAAAACTACAATTTTGGGAGCGAATTCAAGGTAACTGAAGTGAGGAGTAATAACAAAATTTTTCCCTCTGTAGACTTTTGCAAACAACCAATGGCCTCAGAATTAGAAACTGATCTTAAAGTGAAGAAATGTAAAATGGTTTCTGTGTTTACATAGCCTGATGTAAACACGCAGGAGGTTGGGAGAACACAAGATAAGCGTAGGAAACCATGACACGAAGCTAATGAAACTAACTAATGAAAGAGGAACGAAAACCATGTTTACATACGGTCATGTAAAAGGTTTTATGACCAATCAGAGCGCGCATACTATTTGAATTATTTTATAATTTTATATATTAGCCACCATCTTGTTTCTCTATCATTGTATTTTTAACAACCCTAATAAACAGTGCTTTTTCAACATAATGATGACAGGACTGGTGAATAGAACATTATCACCATCATACTCATAACTGAACTTTCTTCACTTGAAGTAAATTATCAATTAAATTCTTTTAGTGAAATTTGCCGGGAAAACACCCTTAATTCCGCTCAGCTCTAGGATACCAAGGAGCCAGCCCTCATCCTGTGGGAGGAAACAGATACAAAACACCATATTAGTTGAATAGATAAATAGAAAGGTGATAAGTTTAAAAACATTTTGAGTTTTGTTTTCATAAACTGTTTTTATACACAGGAAGAGTATTCCATACAATCCTACAGAACAGAACACCTCATTTGCTTGACAGAGAACGGGGTGGGATGAGGTGGTAGTAAACTGTTGGTATGTTCTTTATTTGGATGCTCAGTTAAAAGGTCCATACTTTGAACTTTCAAATTATTAACAAAAAAAAACACCATTTTCATGGAAATAGTGTAAATTTTAAAACACTAAATGACACTTGTTGTGATGGAAAAGAGTAAAATATGTTGTCAGTTTTCTCTTCCAAGTAAACTCAAAAGATGCGTTGTAGATCTGCCAATGTTTCATTACTGCTCATTGTTGTCCGTTGCAGGAAGTATCCTCTCCCTGGGCTGTCTGTGTGAACAGTATTCCACACTTAAGTGATGGTAAATAAAGGATAAGAAACAAAACCAACAAAAAAAGTTGATAATCACCTGTTCCTCTGGATCCTCAAACTCGACAACATTTATGATCTCTCCTTTCTCAAATGACAACTCATCATCATCTTCAGCAGCATATCTGTATGCAGCTCGAACCTAGACATTCCAATAACAATTTACAATCAGTAACTCAGCCTAATTTTATGGCATGCAAACATAGAGTGACATCTCTGTGGCTGAGCTGGAAAAGCAGAAGTTAAGTTCTTGGAATTCTGGAAGTGTAAATAGAGCCTGTGGTACCAAACCATGAGATGGGCTTTTAAAGGTTTTCTCTCTCAGATTTCTTCTGTTAGTGGCAATTTTCAATAATTTATTGTATACCCCTAAAAAGGGCACATTATTTTTGCAAAGAGGGTGCCTAAGATGTAAGTTAAGGGCTGAAGCCACCGCATTGGAAGATTTTAATTTGTTCTGTTACACAGTCTGTACTTTCCTAAATATCACTAATCATTTGATCTTAGGTAGGAACTTTTCCTTTTTACCTTGTAAAGAAATCCAGGAATTTCAGGTCCTCTTCCTTCAGGCGGCTGCTGCTGTGCCTGTGACTGTGGCTGTGGCTGTGGCTGTGGCTGTGGCTGAACAGGTTCTGTCTGTGAGGCTGAGACAGGTGCAGCCTCTTCATTTGAGGGTGATCCCTTTTTTGAAGTAAAATTGTCAAATTACCAACACAGCAATAATGATGACATCTGCAAACTGGTTGAGGAGGCCAAATACCCCAAATATTCAAAGTAAAAAATCTGTCAAGCAACCAGGTCAAAACAAGTCAACAGCATGAAAAGCAGAAGTCTCAGGTGACTAAGTTGTGATTGGTGTCCATTTTGAATCTGATCGGCTGAGAAAATGGCAGAAGTCCTCTGGACCGACCACACAGTACTTCCCACACTTTGGATATTCAAATGGAAATTGCTCTTAATTAACCTTAGCTTGTTCTTGACAACTTTTTCCAAGTAATTAAACTGTCCCAATACAGACCTCTGTGCTTTCAGCTTCTGATTGTGAAGGCCTTTTCAATGGTAAAGATGGCACAGACGGTTTCTCTGGTGCTTTCTTTTCTGCATTTTCCACCTGTGATTGTGGGGGTAGTTGTCTGGCAGCTGGCTTGGGTTTCTGTTGATTATCTGCTTGTGTCACAGTCTCCCCACTCCCATCCTGTTCATCATGGTCAGACTGCATGAAGGGGTTTAGGGCTGGAAAATGAATGCCAGCTTATTTTAAAAGTGACATTAATTTGAGTGTTTAGTACACAAAATAGCTAGAAACATGTATAAGTCCAGCATGTAACACAGTCTAGCTGTCTAAGGTGCCCTACCTTCCCCAGGCACCTTTAGTAAGTATTTAAAACAGACATCTCTGGAGGTAGAAAATTCCAAAGTAATGGACATTTGCGTAAGGAAAACTCATACACTGTATCTGAGGAAAAAAACGCGATGTTCAACTTTCTGAAGAAAACAAATTTAGATGTAACATTTCTTCTTTATTCTCCTCACTTATCTGCTTGATTCTGCATTGATATTGTCAGGAGAAATTCTGTCTTGGTCACTCATAGGAGTTAAAGAGTTAAAGATAACTGTTTGGGATGAAGCCTTCAGGATATATCTTTAGGTAATTAGGGTTACTCTAACTATAGAAATTGTTATTTCTGAGGCAAGAATCCTATCATATTAAGTATGAATTCTGTGAGACAATCACTCACACAGAGCTACTGGTATTCCTTTAAATTACTTCTGGTAGCAAAAGTTAAGCATCTTTGAAGAACTTGCTTGGGAGAAATTGCTTGCAAAAATGTATAGCATTCAAAATAGGGTCAAGAGTGAATAAAATTCACTGATCATTATGTTCACTAAAAAATTTAAAATAATACCATCGACTCCATCTACTGCTTTTTCAGCTTGATTGACTGTTCCATCTGAAAGAAAACAAAACTTGTTTGTTTTCATTGTTTTGACTGTGATCTATTTCTTCCTTGTGAATTTTGAAAGCAATGATAAAATATCTGTAATGAAGCAAGAGGTATTCATTTCTATAATTAACAATGAAAGCTATTCAGAGTGATTAATTTAATATCTTATTTTGTAAGGTGATCCATTGTTAAACTAAACATTGGACATTATCCTTACCATCACTGGTTTCCACAGGGTTAGCTTCGTCAATGCAGGCTACTGCATCCCCACTCTCTGCATGTGATGAAGTTGTTTGAGTGTCCATTTCATCACTGTCTGAGACTTGGTTCTCACTTGAAAATTGAAAAGGTATTCAGTCGAAATTAATCATTATACTCTTTAAGACAAAATCTGTCTTAGTTTGGTATTAAGGGTTTGGTGGTGCACAGATTTCATCATAGAATATAAGGATAATGAGTAAAAAGCTCACATCAGAAAGGAAAATATTCTTTGTTCATACAATAGGAAAGATGATAAGTTTTAAACTTGTTAAAGAAATAGAGAAAGACGTTTTTTGTCTTTTCACAAGTGTGGGACTAAGAAAAATAATTGAACCTCAGACCTTTGGATTGCACACTCCAATGCTCTACCACTAAGCCACAGTGACTCTAAGGTTAGCAAGGACCACACTATAGACATCGCTGATCCTGATATCCATTGCCGACAGTGTGCACGATGCGTGTCATGTATGAACTTTGTAATGGGCCTCACTCACCATAGAGTCTCTGTGGCTCAGTGGTAGAGCATTGCAGTGCAGAATCCAAAGGTCTGAGGTTCGATTCCCCATGGGAACTCAGAATTTTTTCTTTGTCCTATGTTTGTGATAAGACCAAAAACATCTTTCTCTCAAATATTCTTCTACACTTGAATTAAAAAAGCAAAGGAGTTTACAAAGAAAACATTACAAACCTAGCCACGGGATAAGGTCTCTTAGTAGTGTATGTTCCAGTTGCCATGTCATGAATTAAACCATCCATTAGATCATTCATCTGAGTTTTTGTCTGAAATAGTATGTAATGATTAGTTTGTAAAGATGGAAAAACACTTTCTCAGTTGATAATGAACTTTATGCTGTAGATGCAGTGGGGTTGGTGATAGCATGCTGGTCTCAGGATTTATTGGATAGAGGGGGGGGAGAGCTTCTAAAGAAACTGTGGTGCTGTGTCAGTGGGGGAGTGTAACAGGGTAAGTTAGTATTATCAACTGAGTTGATAATGTAAATTGGCCACCGTAAAGAGTTGCAAAGCTGACATTTCAAGCATTAACCCTTAGTTGGAGCAAAGTTTACCAGTAACTGACTAAGGGCTTATGCTCGAAACATCAGCTTTGAGACTCTTTACGGTGGCCAATTTACGTTTTATCAACTCAGTTAATACAACCAAATTACTCAGGTTAAATTGGTTCAGGTTTAAGCCATAGCCAGGTCATTAACAACAGAGTTGTGTTCTTGGGCAAGCTTGCCTTTTTCTACTCAAGAGGTAAACAGTCACCGGTGAATTTTTGGGGGAAACTTCAACCACAAATTCTTGAGGAAGTCATTATCTACACTAATGCCCACTAATTCCTTTCCAGAAGAGGCAAAATCCCTTGAGTTATTTCATGCTAAAGAAACTTGGATTGATGAAGGGGCTGTTATGATTAAAATTTTTTCTTTTGGTTTCATTTTTTTTAACCAATTTAAATTTTTTAAGCTAGCTTAAAATTTCCAGACTTAGCATCACTTGTAGATGGAGTTCACCTTTGTTTTAGGTATTTTCCTGAGGGTTTCCTTTAAATTATTCTGAGTTCTTCCCTTTGCAGAACCCAACACTCCAAAGCAAAGTGTTAAGACAAAGACTTGCTCCCAACATGTTTTCTTTTTAGTTGCAAAAATTACCTTTGCAGCTTCTCTATGGAATACTCCTTCAGCAGTGAAAATACTTTGGAATGAGGACACATAAAAACCAATACGACTGAAAATAAAGGAATTGTCACATGACTGAGTTATTTTTCACTTTTATAGTCAGGTTAACCTTTTAACCCACATGACTGACTAGGGCAGAATTTTTCCATGGAATATCAATTAATACAATATCAAGTATGCAAGTGATGAGAATAGAGAAAAATATCAGTCAAGGGATTATTAGTTGATCCAATGCCCAATTCTCTGAACTAACAGCACAGGAACTGTATGACAGACAGTAAGGGGAATTGCTAATGAGATCTTGAAAGTGAAAGGGTTAATCAGGTTAAAAAAAAAGATAACTAACATCTATGAATATTCCAAACCTCTATTGAGAAATTTTATTAAAAGTTGTCGATGATTAAAAATAACTCAAATGACTTCTTTTTTACCTGTCAAATAAAGCAGGTAATTCTTCATATAATTCTGCATGAAGTTTTGTATAAACAGATTTTGCTTCATTGTATTCTTCCTCTGCCTGAATTCGAAAAAAAATGAAAATAATTTCATCAGTTCCTAGGAGTATGGCGGCCACTGTCAAGAGTTTCTAGAGCTGATGCTTCAAGTTTTAGCCTTTCATCATTCACTCTGACAAAGGCTTGAACCATGAAACAAGAGCTGATTAGCTGGTGAAAGACAAAGAGTAAGGAATAAAATTTATCAACTGAGGTGATAATGTAAATTGGCCACCATCAAGAGTTTTTTAAAGCTGATGTTTCGAGTGTTAGCCCTTTGTCATTTAGTCTGACAAAGATCTAGTGCTTGAAACAATAATAATAATTATAATAATATTTATTGATTTGTATTGCACAAATATCAATCCAGGAAAAGAAATTTTCATCTGCCCATTACATTGACTCTGCAAAATTCTAAAATCCTGGTAAATTATTATTCCAATTCAAAAAAATTATAAAAAACAACATTTAATTAATCATTTAAGTCCTATTTACATATCATACCTAATAATTTGTTAGAAAATAATAAGTCTTAAATTCTAAAAACAATGACTAGTGATTCTAAAATCCTATTTAAAAATTATTCTTTATAAAACAATAAAAATAATGAATTACCTAGCAAACACCTTCTGAAATAAATGAGTTTTAAGAGCCTTTTTAAGGACATAAAAAAAAAAAAACATTAAAAAAAAACATAAACGTAAAGCATTTAAAAAAACCAAGAAACATTGGCCGATTACTGGTGAAAGATGAAAAGACGGACAAGAAAGACGAAAAGAAAGCTCTGGAGTAACAATGAGATGATCACCTGAGCAAGCTTCTTTTGATCAGCTGCCTTTCCTTTGGATTTTAGTGTCTACAAAAGAAACCAAAGTTTAGTTTAAGGCAAGACAGATCAGCATTGTTGCTTCTTCTCTGAAGTAAAAAAGTCTGGGCTATGGTGAAAAAAGGAGTGCAGAGTGATGCTTTTTTTTTTACAGAAGACAGCAAAGGACCCAGAACTTAACATTTCTCTGAACAGGCACAATCACAGAGCTTTTTGCCTGAAGTATTACGGCAACTGAAATTAGTCAAAATGCCTAAAGAAACACTGTCCAGTTGATAAGTTGATGTCAAATCACTCCAGAAAGGGTTACATGTACATTCTCTTTCCAGTTACACCCTTCATGCTCTAAAAACATTCAAGCATAAGTTCTTGAACATCATGCCTGAAAAACTTTGACTGAAAATGAGTGAGAGTCATAGAGACCAGGGGTGGTAACCATAGCTTACTGGTAATAGTTTCAACTTATGAATACACAATTCTTTTGACCAGGCTGATCAAAAATAACACCAGTTGACCAAAAGTCACCGTTGTAATGAAATCACCCTAAAAAATTTAAGACCTTCCATTATAATTGTTTTAAATAACCAATGTGCCACTGATCAGCAAAATGTTTTTTTCAGTAAGTCACAACATCATCTACAAATATTCACCTCAAGATTGTGTCTGTATCGATCATAGTCAACAAGTTTTCTACCTCGTTTATTTATTCTGGCCTGGAAAGGATAAAACAAATAAATACGTCTTTCCAGAACAAACATGTTGACAAGTCAGTCGTATCTTTAAACTAAGAAATCAAACTACAAATTTTGTCTTACATATTGAATGCCATCTAGGCAAACAACAATATATGTCTTGCTGAAGTCAAAGCATCTTTGCCTAACCTCTTATTCAACAACTATGGTACTAAACATGAGAATGGAAGATAAATAAGGGAGAATGAAAACTTACAAATAAACTGACAATAGAGAAAAAGATTCACCATTTTTAACAGAGCATATCTTAAGAGGCATTAAAAAAAACAATAAAACTGCTGCTAAAAAGTGGACACAGACAAGACTACATTTTATACACAAGACATTACAAATTTCTCTACATAAATTGCCTTACATTATGCAGTGATATAAACACATCAATAACAAGTACATAATACATTTAATGGAACATGAACAATCACAGCTAGTTAAGATGTAAAGCCAATACACATGTGAAATGGTTTAACAAGAAGTGATTTTGTAATAATTTTATAAATCTTGTGCAAACATTGGCTGTAGATACCTTTATATCAGGAAATTGGCTCTGGTATGCTGTCAGAGGAATAATAACTTCATCATCCATTTTTTCTACTAAATCAGACCACTGGCTGTGTAATTCCTGATTAAAGTATGAAGGGGAAAAATACAGTTACTTATACTCTGGTGCTGAAGATAATGGTACAAGTCCCTGGCATTTCTAAGAGATAGCCAGAAATATTAATAGCAATTTACAATTATGCTTGCTAATAAAGATCCTCAGGAGGTCTTCAATATATGGACTTCCATGTAGGTATCTCAGTATAAACTTAAACCCACACAGTGCACTTTCATTGTTTTAGAAAAATGGTAGTTTATTGCAAATGCTGACAAAAAATTTAAACTTCACAATGAAGCTGCTCCAACTAGAAATTATTTAACTACTGATGTATATAAGTCTTAATTTGTGTAACTGCCATGCTACACTAACTATCTTGAATTGAATTAAGCATCTTATTGGGACCCAGCTTTCAGGATGGTAAAGATACTCTTGCATAAAATAAGAACAAAATTCAACAATTCTAATCACAAACCTCTATAAGTTGAATGAGTTTATCTCTTCCTGGCCAATCAGGTTCATACACTTCTCTCACTGCATCTGCAAACGCATCACTAGATACTAACATTGCTGTAAGAAAAGAACAAACAAGTCTAAGTCAGACATCTCTCTTTATTCTGAAATAAACACCTATAAGGCTCTCTAATGTGCAAAGTTGCATGAAGAGTCAGTTTTCCATCATCTCACCTCTAATACACGAATAGTAATTTTTCAATTCTTTATGTAACCTTTGAGCTGCACTCTAAAAAGTAAACAGAGCAGCAGTTAATGAGAATTTGTTTAACAATAAAGAGCTTCTTTAATGGATGATCATTTCTTTTCATTCTCAAGACCTTCATGTTTGATTAAGGTGTAACTTAATATAAGGAGAAATTAAATGCTAGTCATTCTTAGTAGTCAAAGGGATAATTATGAAGTTTAAGAAGGGGTTGGCATCTTTAGGGCCTTCCAGTGGCAAAATGAAAGGTAAAATTTTTAAAGTTTTGCAGCCAATAATTAAAAAAAACCAACAAATTGACGGGCCAAATTGCCTGGCCCAATTTGTGACATATGTCCTCCTCTCAGTGTATATGTTTATCTATAATTTTTTTAATTACTAGCTGTTCAATCCCAATATATCATATTTGGAGCAGCAGATGATGACAAATAACATATTTGTTATTGTCACAGTTTAACTCAAGTAGAAGAAATTACTACCAGGAAAGGTAAACCAGGAAAAGATTTTAGTATTAGATAAGTCTTACACCTAAGGTTCAATTGGTATCTGGGAGGTAAAGTGAAAACCCCATAATGATTGAAATTTTGATTTTCTCCAGGATTTAATTTTTCTGCAATTTATTCTGAAGCAGTTTTTTGGATATGATCAATTCATCATTCATCACTTTCTTTTCCATTTAAGCACAGGTATAAGAAGGTGAAAAGAAAGAAAGCCCTCATTCATTTTTAATTGAGATATGTAAAAAATTTGCATGACTGAAATAGTGCAAGCTGATCATATGATTACCATAATAAAATGACTAAGTTGTAGTCCTAATAATTAATTGAAAAAACCTGCTTTCAATTGTACTGATTAAAATCAAGACATCTGTCCCACAAAGCTGGGCTATTAATTGATGATGTCTTTTTTTTTATCAAATTCATAATTATGTAGTTCAAAAGGTTAGTGTCGTGTACATCAGCTCAGAGCTGAACGAGATTTGCGTGTTCATGTCGATTGTTCAATTCTGAAATTGTATCATTGAACAGAGTGTAGATCAAACAGTAGGTAAATCCCTCTTAGTTCTTCTCTATCCTTTTCGATCACACTTAGATAAAGTTTAGAAGATTACAATATACATTGTACATAAAGGAAAAAGGTGATCGGAAGTCACTTGTTTGAGTCTTTTGCTTAGCTTTCCAATATTCATCAAAACAAATTCCATCATTATCACATCGCATTACACTGTAATTAAAATCATGTATGAGGGAAAAACGCAACCGAAGGCAAAGTTCTGTACTAAGAATACGCACGCATATACAAGATGGTATTTTTTGACATCTGCATGCGATCGTTATAGACTGACAATATTTTTAAAGAGTCTGTCAAGGCCCTATTACCTGTTGTTTATTGAAGTTGTTTACGAACTCATCAAATGTAAGATCCTTTGTCTCATTTGCTTTCCCGAGCTTTTGCATCACCTAGAAATACCAGAAACACTCTTTAGCATGGAAGTAACTTACGACGCGATGACTTCCGATTTGCCAAACCACCTCCCTTTGGCATCCTCTTGGTATAACTACATTATCACCCGAAACTTCTCAGAAGTTAGCAGAAAGATGGATAAAATAAAATTCTTTTAACTCGCCTTTTCTTGAGCACGCTTGGCTCTTTTTGTGGTAATGCTCGCCGTACGAGAAAAAAAGCTTTTTTCGGAACTTTTGTCGGGTTTATCCGCCATCTTGGTTCTAACCTATCACCGCTGACACGCGAGTACGCATGCGCTGGGCGAAACATCACAAGATGGCGGATTTTATGGAAGAGGAGAAAAAAGTGCAATATTTTCCAGAAGGAAGTCTGTTAAATACAATGATCATATCGATTATTGACTCAGAGAAACGTTTCACTGATATTTTGAAGGAACCGTACACTGTTTACCTCATAGAGACTAAGTGAGTCCATCGCTTTTTTCAGTTTTTACACAGATGGGTATTTTGTTATTACGCGTCATAAGATTTTGATCGCTTACCAGTTCGCGTCACCTTTGTAAGATGCGACACTAGAGTCGATGTACTATTATTTGAATTGATCAGCTTCAGGAGTATCGCGGTATTTTTACTTAATTGTCAGTCGATCTGAACTGCGACGCATCTTTTCGATTGCCCCCCTGTGACAAACATGAGATCTGGTCCTCACAGACTCTCTTGTCTCATCGTGATGATAAAATTGACCTTAGTTTAAGATTTAGAAGCGTTTTCTGCTCGGTCAGATTCGGTAACAACCAAAATTTCTTTCTTGAGAGGGGCTTGGGGAAGGGGTGAAAGGTACTGAAGTACGTTTTGGGTTTGAGGACCATTTGACTATAATTTTATTCGAATTTAGGTCTTAAGCCCTGTTCAAACGGTCATGATAGATGATGATGGTCGAAGATAGTTTCAAATTTTATTCCCTTTCATTGACTATAGTTTGCGTTTAAGTGGTTTGTGATTGTTGATGACAGTTGACAAAATCATGCCATGAGATCTGGGTAATTGTAAACAAATATGGGCTGTGCTGAGATAAGCAATTTTGGTGGCATTTGAAATTTTAGTCAAAAAGGTGGAAGTTGAAGATACTGAAGCCTATCAGGAGACAATGAGATTGAACAATTGGGCTTTCTGCAAAATTTTACCATTTGCCATTTTAGTTTGAGCCCCTTTTTGGCAAAACTGTTGACTAAAAAAGTATTACTTGCCATCATCCATTGTTCAAATGCAAAAACTGCCATCAACTATCATGTGGAATATGAACGTGTCCAAACTACATAATAGTTGATGATTGTAGATGATGGTCAATGACAGTGCACAATTATTTGTGTTCAAACATGTGTGATAGTTGAAACCATCAACTATCATGACTGTTTGAATGGGCCTTTAGAAATAAGATCTTTGTTGCAAATGTTTTTGGGGGTTCATGCAAGATTAAGAGTTTCTACAAGTCATTGGTTTCTCCCTTTAAAAGTACATCTACTGATGAAATTTGTTTGTGTTTTTTATTAGGTACATTGATGGGGGTCCTCCTGCTGGAGAGCCTGATATGTCATCCTCCATATGGAGAAGATACAGTGAATTTGAGCTGTTGAGAAATTATCTCATAGCAAATTTCCCTGCAGTGAGCAAACACATTATGTTAACTTTGTTTTGATATCAGCTAATAGTTTTTGGTATATGTCTTTCATTGTATTTTCTCCAGCAAATAAATACATCACGAAACTCAGTTCACTTGAATTGAATTATCCAAAAAAAACTATTGATTTTTGTCGCTTTTGGTTGGATTGAAATGATTTAAAAACTCCTTACTTAGAGTTTGGTAGAGTAATTTCAATCATGCACAGTAGTGTGAAAACGAAAATGCAATCTACTTCCTTTGATCTGTAGTGTAAACAAGAGCCTGAATCTGCACCATTCGTGTGATTAATATGCATGTTTATAAAGTTTTAACAGAAATATCATTCCTTTCCAGTTGATTGTTCCCCCTTTGCCAGAAAAAAGGGTAAGTAAAGCAGGAGTTATAAGTTCACTCTTCTTATCCAGTGTATTCAACCCATTTTTTCCTCTGAGAGAGTGAACTTTTTCAATTATCTGTTTCTTTAGATCAACATTGCAGCCCTTCGTATTGCTGCAGATAAGTTTGATCCAGATTTTATTGAGAAGAGAAAGGTTGCACTCGAGGTAACAACTTATTTGTATTGCTCAGCAGATAACTTTGACCCACAAGGAATTTAGTTTTCCCTTTGAATCATGTTTATTTTTGTTTTCCTTGTTAAATATCATGGCTTGATTCTCAAAATTATAGAAAATAGTCCTTTTTGAAGATGAATGTGCTTAAAATGACAACCTTTGCAATTAAATCTTCTCCTTTGTATAAGAATTTGTTGTAATTGTGTTTGTACTCAAGACATGATTTGATGCTACTCTGGTTTAAAGGTTTAATGAATGTAACCGAGAAGTTACCATTCATAGATGCAATGTTTCAACACTCTTGTCTAGTGCCTTCATCAGGGGTGATCTAATAGCTGCAGTAAGAGATCCCTTCGCATGCTCACTAATTAGCTGCCCTTTTTTTTGATGAGGTGTAAATAGGCGTCAGATAGTTAGCCATTATCATCAAGATTTAGAGGAGTGTGGGCAGAGTTGATATACCTGGCTTCCAAACAAAGGCACTGGTGGTAACATTGGTTAGTGGTGATAACTTTTGAATTATCACCCCTGATGAAAGCACTAGACAGGCATTTAAGAAAATAAACGATGCTTTTTAAAAACAAGTTTTGACAGTTCTTCTGTCATCTTCAGTTCTGGTTTTAAAAAGTACAAAGGTTAATTTAAAGTGTGTAATAAAATGCTGATTGAACAAACAACAGTAACAGAACAATGTATGTAATTACAAGGAAATTTTTTAATTAACATGATGAAGTTGATGATTAAGTGTAGGTTTCTCCCACTGAATGTGAATAGCTTCTTTAATTTTAAGTTGGAAAGTTGTGGAAGCATGATCTAAGATGCAAAAACACTCATCAGAACATAGAGTGGGACATTGTGGAGAATTATGTAAATGTTTGAAGGGTCTTTCACGCCAAACATATTATATATTTAAAAAGATGAAAAATCCAATTTAATATCTATGTTGTTACAACAATGCTTAGCAAAGTGGCAAACCCTTTTTTGCACTTTTCACAAGGCAGGAGTTTCAAAACATTGGGTCCATGAATTGAAACTTCTTGGTTACATTCGTTAAATCTTTAAACCAGAGTAGCATCAAACCATGTCTGATTGTCCACCTGGTTGCCTTGTGAACTTTAATATATGTGATTGTACTGTTTGGTATTTCAGAGTTTTTTATTAAGATGTGGGGCTCATCCCCAACTTTCCCAGGACCTCTCATTTATTTCATTTTTCAATCAGGTAAGTTGATTTTAATCATAATACAGAGAAGAATAGCATCTTACCATAAATGTACTAAATAAGTATTGTCAGTTGTAATACACAAAAACATGTTTGAGTATATTTGAACCAAGAAAGCATTTGAGTTTTAGTTAAAAAAAAAATTGAAAAATTCCATTTATATGTGAAAACAATATGATCCTTAGTGATAGTGTTTATTTTATAGGAAGAGGGATGGAAAGAAGCTCTGCTGGCAACAAATTTTCAGAGCAAGGTATGGACAGTAGTAGCAGGGAGTGATGTTTTGACAAGTGGAAGTCATCATCAGAGTCAAGTGGAGATATGTTTGTCAGTCAAGTGTTTTTTAGTGTAATTTGTGAAAACTGATTGGTCAGGTTTGCTGTGATTCTTTTTTACAGGTTGACTCGAGACTAAAGAGTTGGAGTGCTTCTCCTAAAGAACCAGACAGGTCAGATATCTTCTACTGATTACTAACTTTGATTGTTACTTTACCAGCCAGGGATGGTTTCTTTTGTATTTAAGATCACTGAAAATAGATTTTAAATTACTAAATATAAACCTTCCCCCTCCCCTCCCCCCCCAAAAAAAAAAAAAATTCCATAGTTAATGAATGGCTTATTGCATAATTTTCAAATAATTTAACCATTGATTTATAGTACTAGTATTATTACAGTATTTTTTTGGTGTTTTCTCTTTTTTTTTATTAGGAGATTTGAAGACATGAAACACTATGCTGAAAATCTAGGAAGTAACGTTGGGGCTATGATAAAAGTCAGACAGGTAGTTAATTTTTTTTGTTTTTTAATAATAATAATCTTTTTAGAACCTTTGAAGCTTGGTGCTGTCTCAGACACCTGTCCTATACAATCCCTTATGTCAATACAGTTGCTCAGTAATGAGTACTTTTTAATAATTGCATGTTTCTTTTTTATTACATTATGTATTTTTAGCGTATTTCAGATACAATATTTTCCATCCACAAACAACATGCTACCTATGGAAAGACTTTTAGGTGAGTAACTTTGCTCTTGTGGTTCATAAATACCTACAACCTTCATTACAATTTTGTCCAAACATCTCTTCTTTCCTGCTTGTAAATTTTGATGATAGTGACACAAGTGGACCACATACAATCAAACAAACAAAATAAAAAAAGAAAAGAAAGACTTAACATTATAGGGGAATGGATTGTTTCAACAAAACTTGGTTAAGGTTGTCAGCCTTTTCAAACTACATGTAGAAGAATCTTTGTCTGAGTAACTAATGAGTGATTTTTTCTTCCTATCATCAACAGTGAGTGGAGTTCATTGGAGAAAGAGATGGGTGATGATCTACAAAAATCTGGCCATTACATGGACAGGTCAGCAGCTGGTTTTGATTACACCATTATTTTGATTGAAGAAATATTTTATTTGTTCTTGGCACAAGGGTGTTGATCAAGTTGCCTCTTTCAAATAGTTAAAATTTAGTGAATAGGCATAAAATTTGTAATAATTAATATGTAAAATACCAACAGATTTTCAGCATCTGTTGATGAAGCACTTAATGAAGATGAAATGGCATTCGCAGAACCACTCAAGGAATATCTACACTTCTCTGATGTGTTAAAGTAAGTATACCTCTTTTTCATTGACTGGAATTTTTTAAGCCATGTATTGCATGGCAGCCTTATGTTATCATCAGTGATGGTTATAATTTTTTAATAAACTCAACCTGATATTTCTACCTAGTAAACTTTTGGTTTTACTGGTAAACTTAGTAATAAGCTTGAATTTGTGCTACTTAATATGTGAAGCACACAGTGGTCATTGAACATGTTACATGCATCACATCACATTTTGGTTTCCTATTGAACTGTCTCTCTTCTGTGTTTCAGAGGTGTAGCAAGTCGGCAGCTTCTTCGTCACTATGACATGGAAAAGGCGGAAGAGACTTTGAATAATAAGAAAACACAGAGAGATGATTTAAATGCTCAAAAGGTAACTTGAGCAATAGGTTAAGTTGTACATCATGAAAGTACAATTGCTTGGAAATTCCAGCCAGTTGTAGCATGTTAGTAGGCCCACATTATAAGTACTAGAAGTTTGGGATCGAGCACCAGACCACTCACAGACCTTTCACCTGCTTGAATTGCTCAAGGTCATCTACCAGCTTGCGTATGCAAAGAAATGCTTATGCCTGAGGGCTTCTAATGATGTTTTTGAGTCTGATGGATCCCTACTTCCTTAAAACCATTTTCAACTGAAAAATTATGAATACTATCATGCAAACACTGCTGATTTCTGTAAAAATTTCAAGTGCGTCAATTTAAATATGTGAGTGTTGAATGTTACATCTCTCTGTTGAGTACAAAATTGAGAACAATCCATTTTTTTGGAGATATCTTTTTTATGTAGTCATTAAATCATATTTATTTTGTTTGTAATGATTAATGATCGCCATATTTGTAGGAAGCCTTACAAAGTGGACAGACCCCGCCCAAGTCAGGAGGATTTTCATTCAAGGGATTGTCATCCATGATTTTTGGTGCTGAGACTCCAGAAGTGTTAGAGACCAAGATAAACAATTTGGATGAACAAATAAATGATGCTGAGGAAAATGTGAAAACCACAAAGGAGGAAGTTAGGTTGTTTTATTTATGTTTGCATAGATTTACTTTTAATCACTCATCCACACATACTAATCTCATTGAATTTTTGGGTTTAAATATTCCTTTAAAGAGAGAGTTGCTTTTGAGGTTTCCTCCCCAGTTAAGTAATATAACTTACTGATTAATGGTAATTGATTCATATTTATTACAGTGATGCTGATGGTCTTGTTGTTATGCTGTTAAATATGACCCACTAGAGTCACTACCCCCC